ATCATTATTACATGTACTTCGTCATACTTACACATTATTCTTGATCAAACAGTATGCCACAAGATTCTTATATTAATTGGTGTAATGCAATTTGCGTGGCACTTCGTGAACTCGAAAATTATCCTGTAGGTCCTAAACGCCCAAGTATAAATAGTTTGGCAAAAAATTTTGGACTTTCAGAAGCCACCCTTCGATGTGCGATTAAGAATGGTGGTCCTTCTAATCGTCAAGGCCCACCTACCGTTCTTACTAATCATGAGAAGGAGCAACTCATTGGCTATTGCATTAATATGCAAAAGCTTGGATTCAGATTAACTAAATCTGGAATTAACCATTGCATAATAGAAATTATAAATCATCAAAACAAACCACATCTATTTGGCGAAAAAGGATCAGGTCAAGACTGGTGGGCTCGTTTTATAAGAGATCATCCTGAGTTATCATTTCGTACCCCACAAGAATTGTCTGAAGCCTGTGCGCAAAGAGCCAATGCAACTATCGTTAAAGATCATTTCAACAAACTTAAACATGAATGAGACCAGGTTTATTTTTGCATCCAAGCTAGAAAAAGTTATTGCAAAAAAAGGCACATGCCAGGTCCACAAAGTCATGCATGGAAGTTCACATGAGCATATTTTGGTTGCACCAACAATTTCGGCTGCTGGAACATATATTTCACCTCTGCTTATTTATAAGGGCATTCGTGCAATTCCCAACTTGCTAAAAGGTGTACCTCCAGGAACTGTAATGGGTTTCACAAACTTGGGATACATGTACAAAAACCTTTTTCAGATGTATCTAAATCATTTTATTGATTCGATCCCACCCACTCATCCGGTCTTATTGATACTTGATAGTCACAAAAGCCATGTAAGCTACGTGAGTATCGATTTCTGTTATAAAAATGGAATCCTTCTTTATGCACTCCCACCTCACACGACACACATTTTACAACCATCTGAAATCCCTTTTGCGAAACCAAAAAAGGAATATAGAAAAGGATGTGATAAATATCACAATAATACTAGAAAACTAGTAATCAAACATACCTTTGCAGAAGTTTTTGGACCTGCCTTCATCGAGACTTATACACCATTGGCTATTTGTAATGCTTACAGAGCCACAGGAATATGGCCATTCAATCCTGATACAATTAATCCAGATCGCTTAAACCCATCATTAGTAACAGAACAATTTGATATACCTTTGCATAGACAATCCTCTATGCAATCGGTCAAGTCACCTTTATAATTATTTAATAAGCCGAATCATTTTTATTCCACCCGTTCAAGTATTACCAAGTTAAAAGAAGAAAACAGATTACTAAAAAATAAAAATGAATTATTGAAATTCCAGCTTACAA